TTTAATCTTTGAATATATATATTATTAATCTTCACATGATTTAAAAATATTTAAGATTGAATGGTGCTGTATGGTACACACAAGTTCCTCACAATAATGATATAAAGAATCAATATTTCTTGATATAAAGAAAACATTTTGTAATTTTAAAGTTTCATGAAAGGTGTTAAAATGATACAATTATTGATGGTTGAAAATATAAAAAAATAAAAAAAAGATCACTGACTTTTGGAATGTATCCCGTGAGAAGATAATGTTATAAGTGAAGCTGTTACTAGTACATCCAAATCATTTTACATGTGCTTCAATAAAGTTGCCAAAAATGAAACCCCGTCATAAATTCCACAGAAAAAATTAAATATTATATTACAAAACAAAAAACATGCAGTCAATATAAATTTAATGTCTTGAATCATAATATAATTCACAGGCCAAATACATCATATTGGCTTTTTTATACAATATATGGTATATATGGATAAATTTTGTTGGGAAAATATAATATGTCATTTAAATTTTACGTATGTTAAACTTTGTAACTATATTCAATGTTGTTGAACAATTTTTCAGGAAGATATGACATCTAAAAGACTAAATATAAAACTTTAGATGACATTTTGTTAATGTCTTCCTAAAATAAAAATACTTAATAAGTACATATATCTTTCAAGATATACTTGTTGCAATTTTTAGTTTGTACAAATAGATTGATCCATGCAATATACAAAAAGAAAAAAGTTATGTTGGAGTGCGATTGAACTAAGAGAATCAATGATAATTTTATTAACACTTGACGTCGTTGGTATGAATATGAACCACATTTTGAACATTGCCTCACATCTGAATTCTAACAACAGTAATGTTTCAAAAACCATTAATTATAGAGGACTTTAGATTGACCAATTAATGAAAGTTAAAACTGGAAGCAAAGCCAAATATTATAGTTGTATCATGGTAGCTAGCATAGAAAATGTGAAATATTGTTGATCTTGCAGTAAAAACTTTTGCAAATCAGCAGCATATTATATATTGTTCATTTTATCCAACTTTAAAACTAAAGGATTTCAGCAAGTCCCTAGTTCTAACCATTATTTGCAAACAGTAATTAAAAAGAATTATTCAAATATAAAAATAGATGATCTAGAACACGAAAAAATTTATAAAGAAAAGGAAAAAATAGGAAGAGAATACACACACACACAGAGAACAACTCAAGAAGGGGGAAAATATAGTAGCTAGAACATCATAATTTGATGAAAATTACCTAGTAAATTTCCTGGAAAAAATTAACGCCTAAATATATTAAATTTCAATTTGTCACACATCAATTATATTGAGAATATTTTCTACTTATTTGGTAAAGATATGAGAAAAAGTTTTTTAATGCTCCAAGTGTCCTTGTATGGTAAATCGTTTTTAAGAAAATCTAGCTTTTAAAATTTAGAAGATATATTTCAGGATTATCCTTATTATGTAAAGTTGTTAAATAACAACTTGTAGACCCTTGCTTCTAGTGACATGCCCATATATATTTATATGGTATAGCTCTTGAATGAACTTTTTCAAAAATTAACACAAATTGATGACAAAATTTCACATTATGATTTGTTGAAAGTATACCTTCTATGTTATTTTCACCAAGTTCTAGCTCGTGAAGTTTTGCCAAGTTTTCAATATTCCTTGGTATTTGGCCAGACAACTTGTTAACACCTAGATATATTATTTTCAGATTTGTGAGAGCACCAATTGTTTTGGGAATATATCCTACAATATGATAATCAAAAAACAATATTATTATGAGTTCTCATGTATGAGACAATTATGATAAAAGAAAGATAAGTAATAAATGTAAATTTATGAATGCTTTTTTTTTTGAAGTTATCGTGATTATGATATAAAATAATAAAGCTCTTAAATCAAACAAAAAAGTTCTATATGTAACCGCTAATTTGAGCTCTATTCAATGTTAATTATCAACCAAATATTATTGGACAAAAAAATTCATTAGCATAAATAGACAAATCTTGGAATTGGTGCATAAATGATTATATAAAAATAAAAAGAGCACCACTCTGTCATGCATTGCTGCGTTTTTCAGTGCTAAGTGGGGGAGAATGTTATAAGTTAGGAATGAAATTATTAGTTTTGGTGGAGTGTGTACCAGTAAGTTAAATTTTTATGAAAATTAATCAAATTTTTTTTTTGAATCTTTGATAAACTGTTTTCAGTGGAGTTAAACATTAAATTAAAGTGTATACTTTGAAAATTATAGGGTAGTTTTAGTAATATTATTAAATTAAAGATAAATTATTATATTTTACTCTGAAAATGAATCATAAATAGTAGCGTGTATGTGTGTGTATAAATATTACATAAAAAATATGAAAAAATTATTAAATTCATTAAATTATGTATTATTATGAATTCTAGCATTAAAAAGTGAATTATTTTTATATTATTTGCAAAAAAATTTCAATTGAATGTAAAGTTAATATGTTAATATGTTTTATTTAGAGAGAGTGTGTGTGTATTTGTAGTTTTTAAAAGTTTTATATTATTCTACATCATTTATTATCTAATAACATTATTTCTCTCTAAATCTAAAATTACTTTTAAAAAATATGGATAACAAAAATTTAAAAATAAAAAAAAACAAATGCCATAGTTTTTATATGTATATATCTACATTTAAAAAAAAAATCTCCCACCCCTTAATAACGATAGTTGAGGGAAGATAGTGAATAATTTAGCTCAAGGTAAAAACATTTAAAAGCACTTAACAATGTTGAATTAATTTACACCCATTGGAGAGTTTGGTGAATGATATATCAGATATCTAAAGTTGTTATATCACATGTTATTTTAGACATACCTGACAAGGAGTTATAAGACAGCATGATCTGCTCAAGTAGGGATAAATTAGAAATTGGAGGTATTATTCCTGAAAGGTTGTTTGAAGATACGCGTAAAATCTTCAAACTCTCAAGTCTTCCAATCTCAAATGGAATGGAACCTTTTATAAAATTGGATTTGCATTCCAAGCTCTTCAACTTTGACAAATTGGATATACTTGGAGGAATAAGACCTTCAAACCCATTATTGTTGAGAATCAAGTGTTGAAGTGCTGACAAGCTCCCAATCCAAGTTGGGATTACTCCATTGAATGCATTATAGCTCCAGTTGAGAATTTCCAACTTGCATAGTTAGAACAACTCTTTTGACAACTCACCATAAAAGTTGTTGCGATGAAGGTTGAGCTTCACAAGGAAAGATAGATTTCCAATTTTTGAGGATAAGGTTCCCTTAAGACTCGTTTCACTAAGATCTAGGATCCTCACTGTCCCATAATTAGAATCACATGTAACCCCTACCCAATTGCGGATGGAAGAAGAGTTGGACCAATAATCCAAGTGACTATAAGGGTCTCTCACAGAAAATCTAAAGGAACGAAGTGCCAATTCATCAGTACTGAAATTGGTATGACAACAAGTGGGGCGAACCATGAGACAAAGCAATAAAAAAACAACATGGAGAAGGAAAAATGAAACAAAGGTTTGCCATGGTGTATCAGAATCTTAGGTTGAAGAAGAAAGAGTAGATGGCATTATTATAAATATGCACTGAAGTTGATAAGGACAACTTTTTAGTGCTTTGGAATTAAATGTAATAATTTTTAAAACAGTCCAAATTGAAAAGACATGTCAAATTAACTTTTTAGATTATAAATTTAAAATCGGTGCCTTTACTGGTAATGTATCAGAATTGTGATGAAATGGTACGAAAGAATTTGCAAGGAGAATTCACGAATACGTTACAAAATTATCCAAAAAAAAACAAAAGAAAAGCAAAGGATATTTATCCTTATTTCGCTAATGACTTACAATATAGAATGACATTTATTTATTTATTGGCCACGTCTATGAGTTCTAATAAACTTGGCATTTTTCTTTTTTCGGCAAATATAAGGACTAGACTCCGCTGATGCAAAAATATCTTCTCCGAGGTACTAAAAGCAAACAGACCTTTCCAAATTAAATTACTGCATACATGAGAATTGAGATAGGAATCCCCAACTACTTAATTAAGTGATGGGAATTTTTACCATCCATGCTAACTTTAATTAGTTAGATTGGGCATTTTCCCTAATTGTTAGAGCTCCAATAGTCTTAATTATAGGCTCAATACTTGCACCCATGTATGCATTGAAAGTAAAAATTTTTAACGAGATTATTATAAAAACACTTAATAAAACACTTATTTTTATCAATTATAAAATCATAGGAGTGTCTTAAATATTTGAATTCAGCAAAAATAATGTACTGTCCATGCAATGTCTAACAAGTCTATTGCAAAATTATTTTGTATGTTAGAATCTTTAACAGAATATTCATAATGGTATTAAAAATTGGATTACAGTGTAGGTTTTAAAAATATAGGGGAGGCCTTGTAATTTTAGTAAAATAGAAGAAAGGTCATTGTATTTTACTCTAAAAAAATAACAAAAGAGAAGACTTAGATACTTAGCTTTATATATTTAATATGTTTTTTGTCCAATCAATTAAAACAAAGTGTCCTCCTATATATTGAAGGCAGTTTAAATATATAAACTTAAGTATATACATCCTTACTTTTATCAAATTCAACTTAATTATTATTCAATTTATCAATTGTTGCCTACCAAACGTACGTTGCCATTTCTTATTCTTTTCTCCAAGAAATTTCTTTATTCCAAAAACAAGAAATAAAAGATACACAAAAGTATTATTAAGGATAAGTTTTTGAACTCAAATAATCAAAAGTAGTACTACTAATTATGTTTTAAGAGAGATTTAATTAAATAAATTATTCTTGTAATAACCAAGTTATTGAATTTCTAATATTAATGTTTTTATTTTGTAATATTGGCTGTCACGCCCTGAAATAGGAGTGACCGGTGAGGGATGTACACTTAAACACCCATCTCTTTAAACCTCGATTAAGGAAAGTTCTAAAATAATACATTTGACTTACTATCTGCTTAATTGTATACGTGTAACTTTACTTTTCAAATAATCAAAATATCAACTTTTTGTAAAAATTTTGACACACCTTCCATATAAGTAGGATCTCTTAAAATCTTTACAACAAAAATTTTACAATTTATACCAGCAATATGGAGTTCTATTCCTCAGCAACAGATAGACAATATAACAAATAAAATTAGGACCCTAACTATAGTTTATGTGGACACCTAATTATATTTTCATGGCATAATTCATAAATTCATATTTACATAAATAGGAAATATTTACAGAATAAATCTCCACCAAACTTAGAAAAATTCTCTCAGTGGAAGCAAGATGTACAATATCAGCTACACTATCTGAGACTAAAATAACTTTTCAACGAATAATGACCCAACTATAACATTTTTGCAAAATTAAGGTGAATAAAATATAATAGTTACATAAATTAAAGAGAAAATAATTCAATGCAAATGAATTTGTAAGCGCAGAATAAAAGTTTTATACAACTTCAATATCAAGAACTTAAAATCTATAACAACAAAGAAGCTTTAGTATTTAATCTTAACAAGTCAAAATAATTAAATAAATACATAAATGAAAAAAACAACATTTGCAAATTAAAACCATTAGCGTATAAAATCATCAATTAAATAGAAAAAATTCATATTTAGGAGATTTATCAAAACAATTCACAAACGTGGACACACAGTTCACGAGGGTAAATAACCAAACGTGGCTTATGCTGCGAAGATAAACGTGGCATATAGTACACGAGAGTAAGTAACCAGACGTAGTCGAAGCCATGAAACAAACATGGACACACAGTCCACAAGAGTAATACTAACCAAATATGGCTTAAAGCCATGAAACAAATGCAGGTCCGAGACCCACGAATAACAAAAGTGAATATGATGCTCATGAAAGTCGAGCTAGCTAGTCATAACCATAGCGCACCAAGGGCTAACAGAACTACCGTTAGCAACCAGTGTCATGAATAAAATCTCCCTTCAAATTCATTTTCAAACATGCAAGAAAATCATCAATATAGAAATATAGTTCCTATTTTCAAAGTCAAACTCGCATGAATAGCTTTGAGCATTAAAAACTTGCAAAAATAAAATTTCATGACTACTATCCATGCATGCATTTGTTGAGTAACCAAAATTACCATAGCTGATAATAATCTCAAAAATCTTGAAAATATATTTCGTAAGCAAAAATACTCGTACATGCCATGATATGAATATTCTTCACCATCCCTTTATAATCTCAAAAGATAAAGTAATTTAATCAACAAGTAATAGTGCTAGAAAAACATATATATTAGTAACTACAAATTGTTGCAATTAATATTTGATAAAAAGAAATTTACAGTTATATAAGTTGATTGAGATGTTATCCACTTACCTAATAAACACCCAAGATAATAGTTTGTTCCTTATAAACCTCTCAATTGTCCTTTAACTACTCTATTACCTAGACAAGAATAACAATAAATTTCTTTAGCAATAACTGTACTAAATAAATCTACATCAATTATTCAACAACCTGATGTCTTGCATAATACATAATAAAGTTTGACTTGTCCCTAAGCCACCAGTCATTTAAAATCTACATCCTTATTTATTTTATTCTTTTTACCAAACCTACCATGTGCTTTTAAGCAAATTCCTTGATGATTTTCCTAGCTTTAATATAGAAAATAACTAGCTCTCGTATTGTCATGTAATCCATGATACCTTCATCCCACTTGGTTATCTTAATAGATTGCAAGATCATCTCTTGTTCGAATATTTCCAATCACCAACTCTAAAATTATGCCGCTTCCCAATAAATCAATTCCTCGTTAAGAACCAATTTAAACTTAAACACCCATCCCTTAAAACCTAATGTAATGACCCAAAATTTTAAAATTAAATAAATTTTCTCCTAATTGATATTTGATTTATTTATCTTAATTTTAGGACAAGTGAGGAATAGTAGTTTAGCGAAATTGATATTGGCTACTTATATGAAGATTTAGAGTTCGAATCTCACTTCAGTTAAATGTTAGTTTATTTTCTTTTATTGGGAGAAAGTGCTAAAATGCCTTTGCCTTTTATTATAGAATATAATAATAATAATATAAAAAATCTGAGGGATCTTCATTTGTAATTTTCCCCCCAACTCTTATATATTATTTTTGTTTCCCTCTTTGTCGGTGAGCTACAGACCAGAGGGAGAGAGAGGCTTCAACTTTTCATCTGGAAATTTTGGCCATCTCAACCCTTCACTCCACCATCTAGCTCGTCATCAGTGATGTGGGTCACCGGTGATATTCTCCTTCCCTTCTGTTCTTCGCTCCTTCTCCTCTGTTTGTTTCTCTGTTATGGGTGTTATCCGAACTTCTTTTTTCATCTGAGAGCAAGAGAGATTCATTGCTCAGAAGCTTCAAGTCATTCGATCTAGCCACCTCTTTCTTTTTTCTATTCAACATGCTATTGATGAGAATAGGAGTTCCGCTTGCCATTGCTGTGATGTCCGCCCAGACCACAGCATTGTGGTGCAAACCGAGTTCTTCCCTCCCCTGTTCTGTGTTGAATTTCATCTGTTTCTTTCCTTGGTCTGTGCTTGCCGTGAATCTCCACTTTTGAGCATGGGTGTCGAAATTTTTCTCCTTCCCTGCATTATCACTGTTCTCACTGGTTCGGTGTGGCTGTGGGCACTATTGTTGGTTCATGATCTTCCACCTCTGTTGTTTCTGTTGATTTCTTCTTGTTTTTTTTTTTTTTACCTTTTCTATTGAGGTTGAATCCAGGCAGAAGCCTAGAATTTTTCCCTTCATTGAATCCCCTGTGCGCGCGTGTTTTAATGATGTTGTAATTTGTTCCTCCTTGATGAATCTGTGTGTGTGTGATAGAATGATTAGTGCAAATTTATATTTATTTTCTGTTCAATGTGCTATGTGAATTTATTTGAAGGTAGTCATAGTGTGGTTAAGCAAGCTAGAATTTTGTTTATGGAAGAAGAGAAAGTAGCGTGGGCTTGAATTTTATTAAAATCATATTAATCTTGTGGAAGGAATGAACTTGGGATGCTTGAATAAGTTATGTATTGATGCTGTATAAATGTTGAAGGAATTGTGGGATGGGATATGAAGGAAGAGCTTAGTATTAAAATTTGAACATTGATGCCTACAAGATATTGGATAAAAAGTTTGTTAGGGGAAGTCTTGTTTGTTCATGTTTTTTTCTTAAATGTCAATAATTCTCATAAAACATAGTTGGCTCGGATGCTAATTACTTGAGTTTAACTTGAGTGTTGTGAGAGATTTTGTCAATTATAAAGCTAATGTTTTATTAGTTGAATTCTTGAGAGTTGTATGATTGGATAGAGAAGTGAGTATGTAAAGTATTGAATGAATTGAAAAAAGAAATTTAAATTGAGGTTTGGTTTTTTTTTTTGGAGTCTAAATTGGTTCTAAATGAGGAATTGATTTATTGGGATGTGGCATAAATTTTAGAGTTGGTGATTGGAAATATTTGAACAAGAGATGATCTTTCAATCTATTGAGATAACCAAGTGGGATGAAGGTATCATGGATTACATGACAATACGAGAGCTAGTTATTTTCTATACTAAAGCTAGGAAAATCATCAAGGAATATGCTTAAAAGCACATGGTAGGTTTGGTAAAAAAAATAAGGATGTAGATTTTAAATGACTAGCAGCTTAGGGACAAGTCAAACTTTGTTTTGTCCTAGGCAAGACATCAAGTTGTTGAATAATTGATGTAGATTTATTTAGTAGAGTTATTGCTAAAGAAATTTATTGTTATTCTTGTCTAGTTAATAGAGTAGTTAAAGGACAATTGAGAGGTTTATAAGGAACAAACTATTATCTTGGGCGTTTATTAAGTAAGTGGATAACGTCCCAATCAACTTATATAATTATAAATTTCTTTTATCAAAATATTAATTGCAACAATTTGTAGTTACTAATATATATATGTTTTTCTAGCACTCTTACTTGTTGATTAAATTACTTTTTCTTTCAAAATTATAAAGGGATGGTGAAGAATATTCATATCATGGCATGTGCGAGTATTTTTGCTTACGAAATATATTTTCAAGGATTTTTGAGATTATTATCAACTCTGGTAATTTTGGTTACTCAACAAATGCATGCATGGACAGTAGTCATGAAATTTTATTTTTGCAAGTTTTTAATGCTCAAAGCTATTTATGCGAGTTTGACTTTGAAAATGAGAACTATATTTCTATATTGATGATTTTCTCACACGTTTGAAAATGAATTTGAAGGGCAATTTTATTCATGACACTGGTTGCTAACGGTAGTTCTGTTAGCCCTTGCCGTGCTATGGTTATAACTAGCTAGTTCGACTTTCGTGAGCATTGTACTCACATTTGTTATTCGTGAGTCTCATATCTACGTTTGTTTTCATAGCTTTAAGCCATGTTTGGTTAGCATTACCCTCGTGGATTGTGTGTCCATGTTTGTTTTGTGACTTCAGCTATGTTTAGTTACTTACTCTCGTGGATTGTATGTCCACGTTTGTCTTCATGGTATAAGCTCCGTTTGGTTATTTACCCTCATGGATGTGTGTCCACGTTTGTGAATTGTTTTGATAAATTTCCTAAAATATGAATTTTTTTTATTTAATTGATGATTTCACACCCTAATGGTTTTAATTTGCAAATGTTGTTATTTTCATTTATGTATTTATTTAATTATTTTGACTTGTTAAGATTAAATACTAAAGCTTCTATGTTGTTATAGATTTTAAGTTGTTGATATTGAAGTTGTATAAAACTTTTATTCTACGGTTACAAATTCATTTGCACTGAATTATTTTCTCTTTAATTATGTAACTATTATATTTTATTCACCTTAGTTTTGCAAAAATGTTATGGTTGGGACATTATTCACTGGAAAGTTATTTTGGTCTCAGATAGTGTAGCTGATACTGTACGTCCTGCTTCCAATGAAAGAATTTTTGCTAAGCGTGGTGGAGATTTGTTCTGTAAATATTTCCTATTTATGTAAATATGAATTTATGAATTATGTCACGAAAATATAATTAGGTGTTCCACATAAACTATAGTTAGGGTCCTAATTTTATTTGTTATATTGTCTATCTGTTGCTGAGGAATAGAACTCCATATTGTTGGATATAAATTGTAAAATTTTTGTTGTAAAGATTTTAAGAGCTCCTACTTATATGTGAGGTGTTGTCAAAATTTTTACAAAAAGGTTGATATTTTGATTATGTGAGAAGTAAAGTTACACGTATACAATTAAGCAGATAGTAAGTCAAATGTATTATTTTAGAACTTTCCTTAATTGAGGTTTTAAGGGATGGGTGTTTAAGTGTACATCCCTTGCCAGTCAATCCTATATTTTGGGGCATGACATTGGCCCTCTCAATTAAAATTTCTAGTTTCACCCCTGCTCCTTTAATAGAAATTAAGGATGGCTCAACCAAGGACTTTTGTTTTGCCATTATATTAGCACCTAGGATATGTTTTCTTTTGCTCATATCAATGAGTTGTAAAATTACTTTGAAATTTCTCATCAATGAATTTTTCAAGTTTATCATGCACTATTGATGTAAACATTTGTTAAAAAAAACTGTAGTATAGATGCATTAGTAATCCTTTTAATTTTTTTATTAATTTATATGTGAAATCATATTTATTCTTTCCCTGATAATAAAATACAATTATAAATATGAATTTTTAAAACATAATAATAAAATGGAACTCTATTACTGACCATTGCGCTACTCTCTTTATGGCATGGGTTCATAAGTTGACTCAGCTGGGGAATAAAAAAGATTAGATTCTTTTTCTTTCCCTATCAATAAGCCACAAGTTGTTCATCATCATTCAACAAACGCGCCCAATGCAATTATATGAATTGGTTAGTAATATTTTACAAATACGAAATACAATAAAGTGTTTGCACGGCTTAATATATAGATGCACACATGCATGGGAATTTGAAAATTAAATAATACTATTATTATTAGTTTAAATGGTTATCTTTTTTAAGTATCACAATACTCCATTTATAAAATCATATTTTAAATATTTGAAATTGACATAAATAGTGTCCCTAGTATTCAATTTCTAGGAGATACGCACAAACTTGAGCTGGCTTGACCAAAGAAAAATGATGGACTATCATTATTAATGGTTTCTTTTTCTTGTTGGCTTCAGTAATGGGCTGAGAAGAGCAAAGACTTCTTTTATTGTGCCGTTTTCTCTACACGATCTTGATGTTCAGAATGGAATGACTTAAATATACAGGAACCGTTCTTGTTCCTCTACTATTATTGTGCTATTTTCTCTACACATATGAACTGACTTAAACTTTGAAATTATGCATCGGCATAGAAAAATAAGACAGCCATTACGACATTATTTAAAATTGTACTCCTCCACTTATATTTGGAAGACATTTGGAGGAGGGAGTTTGTGGTCTTTTTCATAAAATTTAATGATCACTCAAGACTTGGAGCATTTAAAACCTCAATGTTTTCTCATCATATAGGCTCAGAATAAATGCATATTAAATTATTAATGAAACAAAGAAATTGTAGTAAAAGAATTGAAGAATGACCAAAGATGGATGCCAAGGAAAGGGCTTGATGGTTTTTAGTTATAACATAAAATTTTGGGGAAATAACATGTTGGCTCTCTCTCTGTGTTTTTGTTTTTTTGTTTTGGCCTAATAAATAACCATTCATATTGATGGACCATAAGCACAAGTCCCAAAATAGTCAACTCGAAACAAGCAAAATTAAACACCAGAAAAACATTGAAAAAACATCAAAATCGGCCAACATCACGAACATCAGTTCTATCTACCTCTAGTAGGTGATCGACATCAACAAATTAAGGTGATCCAACTAATAAGGAGTTAGTATATTTTCTATAAGAATATAAGTTCAAATATTATTGTCAGCATGATGATTTTTCTTAAAAATTGCAACTTGTTAAAAATAATAATTTGCAACCTACCTTTCAAATTAAAGTGGGCAGCGTGAAAATTAACCTTAAGGCCTAAGTTATTTAGATTTTAGATAACCTTACTTTTAAATTCTAATCACTTAAAGGACCTCTGGGTAAAATTTGGTAGTCTATTGAAGATGGAATTTCTCAATGTAGCTTTTTCCGTATAATGTTTCCAAGCCTTTCAATCATAGCCACAAGAAATGGACACACACACACACACACACACACACACACACACACACACATCATATCCATAGAATAGGAAAGCTTTAAATTCTTATTTTGGGGAAATTATAAAGAGGTTTTGAAAGATAATTGAGTTATGGCATGTGTATGTTTTTTCTTTTTACAATGAATACTTTCAAAAATTGATGAGATTATTTTTATCAACTCTGGTTATTTTGAGTTATGCAATAAATGCCAAACATGGACTTTAGATACAAAATTTTATCATGGCATGTTTTAATGCTCAAAAGTATTTATGCGAGTTTGATTTTGAGAATAAGCACTGTATTTGAAAGTGATGATTTTCTCGCTTGTTTGAAAAGTGATGATTTTCTCGCTTGTTT